GTTGGACCCCGAGCCAACTAGGAGGAAGTCGCTTCTACTGGCCATACAAACAGTCCATTCTGCTCAGAAATGTTAGATATTCTTTCACAGGGATCCCACCAGGGGTCAAGCCAAGAGCGGACATTTCGGCCACTCTAGTTCTTGACAGCAATCGATGGAGAATCTGGACTTTTGACGAACAGCAGGCTTTGCATTTTAATGGTGGAGAATTGCACGACACCAGGCTTCGGTTGTTAAAATCCAGGCTAATCCGCACATTTCCAGCATCCAGTTGTAATCGTCTTTCCCACACTAGGTAATTCGACTCGCTAAGTATTTGTCCACAGCACTGAACCGCGTCAGTTACCACGGCCGCCACAGGATGAGTCGACATGAGATTTCTATGGGCTTTTGGGTACAGGTGGGTTCTCAACAGCCACTCTATCATCTTCATTCAAGAATCTAACGGCAGACCAACTGTGACTGTAAAACGCATTTCACGAGCGCCATTTCACAGTGCTGACATATCGAGTTGTACGACATGTTATAAGGCAGTCGCTGTGCTAGATCCCAGCTGTCAGCTCCCTGTTATTACTGTGGCTGCTGGTACGCGACTGCCGTTTCATCAGATATGAGGGCTCGTTTATTTCATTTCCCGTATTCTCCGCCGTTAGACGTCACTTTCTCACGTCCTTGCTGTTATTAGGTATGACGTTATATTGACTACTCCGTCATTTTGTGCATTGTGCCAGCACGGGTTAAGCACTTATTCCATGATATTTACAGGTGCTCCTGTCAAGCAAATTGATTGCATCTATTCTCTCCAACTCCTTGTCAATCATCTCTTCCCTGATGGACAGTTTAGTTGACTTGGCCTCTGGTTTCACACTCTGGATCACGTCCCTCCAAATGCGCAAATCACGTCCCTACACATACCCCCAAGGTTTGTACTGTGTTTATGCTCCTTTTATGACGATCAGCAACAGTTCTATAGAGTGCTTCTCTCCAGACGGCAAAATTTTGCATATGTCTGGGCAAAAGTAGTTTACGTAGTTCACCTCATATACCCCTAGTCCCAGAATTTTGTTCTAAGGAAACGGTGGTTAGAGTTTTGTGGGGTGGGGAAATAGGAAAGGTAGGAAATGCATTTTTTAGGAGAAGTGGTAAAGTTAAAAAGATGTAGTCGACTTTTTTTCCCGCGGCCGCTGCACGTAAGATGATCCGTATGCAAATTGAAAGCGTGCGCGCCGCGGACTATCATAATCTATCTGCAGAACGGTAAGTTATACCTCAGGGAAGTTGAAGTAGACGACCCCGTAACCATCATTTCCATTTGTCAGGAATTTTAAGAAACCTGCAATTTGATAATCAGGTTTTTTGCGTAATACGTTAAACGATAATACAGATTAGGAAAATCTACAGATATAAATAAACAACATTTCTAATTACAAAAAATAAAACGCATATAGCAGTTATTAATGTATATTCCGCTGCCCCATTGTAAGCTCCACCCATAAAACCCTATAACCACCGTTTTTTAAAGGGCGAAGTGCTGGGACTAGGGAGTAATGAGGTGTACTACATAAACTACCGTTGTCCATGTGTGTGTGAATTTAACAAATTCCCTAAAATGCTTTTCGTTGCCATTCTGAAAATGAATCCGATTTCTCTGTCCCGAGAACAGTACAGTTTGTCCATGGAAGAAAATATATGAGTTCCAGGAAGCAGTTCAAAAGAAAAAGGTACGGTCACCGCAGTGAGGAGTTCATTGACGTGACGCTTCGGATTCTCATTCTACCCGAGCATTAAGTATTTGAAAATGTCATTACAAAATCTTCACCAAACGCGTCCTTGATTCAATATGCATGAAAACTCCAGACTACCGGGATAGCACAAGCAGTATGTAATGACCAAAGACTGTGATTGCGAACACTGTGAAGAAATGTCCCCTAATATGTCGCAGAATGTAAGTCGAATTAGATTTCCTTCAACATGGTGCTAGCATCGTGCGTCGATGCCCCCTAAATGGGCCGCGCGGTAGATGCGCTGAACCAGCCCGGAGGCCAGACCAGGGCACGGCAGGCGTTATTCGAGCTGCGCACCGATAACAAATACGGGGGGTGTTCGTGGTGGCAAGCATAGGAGCGCCAGATCCCGTCTCCGGTCTTCTTGACTGTGCCTTGTCACTGGATCCAGGTGGGTCAGGAAGGGATGAGTGCGGTAGATGCGGCGAAAGTCTACTACCACTTAAAACTAATTCACACGTAAGTCACCGTCCTGTGCATCACCCTGTTGTAGATCACATTGTGGACATGCTTGAAATCGAAACAAATAAACAAAGACGAGTAAAATCGGTTTACAATGGGCACAATAGCTTAATCAATGTGTGTATATAAGAAAATTTACATGCAATTAGAGGGCAGAAGAAAGGTGGCTCAATTCCAAAAGCCCGCCGAATAATTGTACTGGCGATCCAAGGAGTGCAGTACTGGGCAGACGCAGTTTCCATGTTACCACTTGTCTAATCCAATTAGCAACACCCGCATTCATCCTTAGGAGTCGTGTTTCATGTGAGTATTGCTTGTTATTTCGTACCTTCGTCGCGTCCGGACGCTAATGGCTGAACATTCAGCAGTAGCAAGGAAGAATGATGCTGGCTGACAGACTGTGGCTCATTCAACAGGATCCGGCCACACCTTCAATTTTTGGCGAAGCCTGATTTCCACCCAGGAGCAACAACTGCGTAAGCCGCGAACTGCTCGTGTCGTGGTTCTCCGTCCAGCAGTCAACTAACAAGTGCAATTACCTCCCTCCTTCATTTGTAGCTGCTCGGTCGAAATAATTGACCACGTGGGAGGGGGGGGGAGGCAGGCGACCAGTGCACCTAGTGGTCAAATAATCGTCAGCAATAGGGGTGAAACCACAACCATTACCGACTCGGGTACAGTGTCGAGATGTAATCAGCAGACGGCGACATTGATAGAAAAGGGAGGAAACAGCAGTCTTCGGTTGCGGCTGTCGAAACGGTACGACACGGATATAATTGCCCTCCCCCTCCCGTGCTACAGACGGCTTTGCGCTCAATTCTAGACGGAGCACCTGCTCTTTCTTCTGAACTGTAGCATAAACCTTAAACCATACTGCAGCGTTGCTGCCATGCCGCTTTGAACCAACGTACAGT